GAGCCATCCCTTCCTGAGCGAAGAGAAAAATGTGTGAGCTGGAGGTTAAAAAAACTGTGAGCTAGATCACACTAACTCAGCTTAGAGAGAACACTGGTGCGGTGTAGTGGTTAAAGTGTCAGACTAAGACCCAGGCTCATATCCCCACTCTGCCAATGGAAGCTCGCTGGGTGACCTTGGGCCAGTCACACACTCTCAGCCTACCTCACCTCACAGGATTGCTATGAGGATAAAACGGAGGAGAGGGAATGATGTAAGCTGCTTTCGGTTGCCACTGGGGAGAAAGGCAAGCTATAAATAAAGTCAATTAAATTAAAAATTACTCTCCCAGCAAAGATCATCACGGTTACAGCTGTTGCTATTCAAACCCAGGCCTGAATCTGTCCCTTTCAAGACCGCTTGAAGCTGTGTAGCCAACACACAGTCAAGATGCAGAATAAGAGGTGCTGGGTGGAACAGTTTCAGACAGAGGTAAAGAACCTCATGAATACATCAAAGGGATGACTACATGTGAAGAGAATAAGACAAATTAGTCTGGGACAGCCGATGAGCATGAGCAGCCCATTTCCAGTGACTGGGGTCTGATTGTGCAGAACCTCAGCTGTGCATGATGGGATGCTTCTGGGATGCTCTGGGAGGTAGCCCCATGTGGGACATGAACTGGGATTTCCATGCACACTAAAGCCCATGCTGCTCCTTTCTCAGCAGTTGAGCCTGCTCTGCCACTCATGGTTAGTTATGACAAGCAAGGCAATGGAGCATTCCATGCACATCATTTCCCTGTGTGCCCAGCTTGTTGTGTAGTTGGAGGACTGCTCTGCAGCATCTATGCTGTGGCTTCTAATCCTGCCTCCTCCTTCTCTTTTGCAGCAGACTAGGACTGCTCACCAAATGATTGCCTTATTCCTAGTTTCCTCCTCGGTGAGACTTAAAGCTTCTCCACTGTTTTTCACATGGGTGTTCTTTCCTTGCAAACTATGGGTTGGGGCTGTGTGTGACATGCAGTGGCGTGTTCGCTTGTTGCCATCTTAGTGTCTGCCTTGCCTGGCATGATTTCCCTGCTAGGATCTTGAAGAGGCCATGAGTTTTTCACGTGGCTTTCCTCTGCCAAGTGAACTGTGAAGGTATTTGAGCGATGGAGTTTGATTGTCTGTACTTCCTTCACTGTGTCTCCCTATCAATAGGGAATGGGTCATTTGGACAGGATTCGAACTCTCTTCTGCAGCACTCCCAATTGTATGGCAGTCACAGAGCTCCCACTGGGCATTTGTAGCAGAGGCTACCATATTTTTTATATTCCTTCCTTCACTGTGTTGTATGTGGGACCAGAGTGACACAGGGGGAGCATGCACGAATATGTCTACATTGGCTGGCTGCTTTCATGTGCACCTGACACAGGAAAGTCATTGGGCATGCGCCACTCTGTGCTTGGCAGAGGCTGGTTGTCTTGCTATGTACTCCTGTACAGATGCTGTGCTCTCAGATCCTTGGTCAGGGGACCTTTTTTTTGGCATTTTCCCCTCTACTGAGGGAAGATATTAACTAGGCATGCTGGCACCTCATTTAGGATTAGTCAACCCGCCACTGTTCTATGTTTAGGATTTAGCCGCCAGTCGTTTCCTGGACAATAAGACAGAACTGGCTTGACTACCTTGTGAATAAGGCTGTAAATAACTTTTCTGTTCCTGGAATCCACGTTAGGACACAGGCCAAAGGGGAAGGCGATTGTTGTTCCCAAAGCTATGTCAGACACCTCTGGATTATTTTGGCACTCTGGAGGAAATGGAAAATATTCAGTATCTTGGAGATATCCAAGCTTCACAGCTGCCTGTCAGAGAAAAAGAATTCCATTTGCTTGCTATTTCCAAGAAGCTGGCAAGGCTACTGCGTGCACACAATTTGTCTTCGTTTATTATGCAGAACGCAGGAAAATTTATGGTCATCAATAGCTTGCTACCATAATAGATTATTTAATTTCCATTAAGGTTTCTTTCCCACTTAACAAAAGCCATTTAAGAATAAAAGAATGTGGCTTCTTACTTAACCCTTTCAGTGCCGTCGGCCAACTGTTAAATGGTTCCTTTCTGGGATTTTTTTAAAAACTGGCATCATCGTGAAGCACATATAAAATATAGAATCTGGGACTGAAAATACATGTCGGTCACTGCAAGAACCACTTAATATTCAAGAAGTCTAGCTGGATTTGTTCCTAGTGAAGAAGTGCAAAGCAGATACACCTGCTTAATTAGCATGCCAGAGACTAGGAGCCTGGTTGCGCAGGTGTGCCAACAAATGGCACATAGCTGCTTTGCACAGACAGCAACAGAGTTTGCACTGTGCAAGCCCAAAGGCCAACGGGTGAGTTATTTTTGCCAAGCCAGCCTCACATTTCAATCAGCTCCAATAAGCCCAAAGGCCAACGGGTGAGTTATTTTCAATCAGCTCCAATCTATGCCATACTGGGAGATGTTCAGCAAAGTCTCCCCCCTGCCCCCAATGCTAGGTTGGTGTAGTGGTAAAGTGCATAAACTCTAATCTGGGAGAACCAGGTTTGATTCCACACTCCTCCATTCGCAGCTGCTGGATGACCTTGGGCAAGCCATAGTTCTGGCACAGCTGTTCTTGAAAAAGAGCAGTTTCTGTCAGAGCTCTCTCAGCCCCACCTACTGCACAGGGTGTCTGTTGTGGGGAGGGGAAGGGAAAGGAGTTTGTAAGCCACTCTGAGACTCCGAGTGAGGGGCGGGGTATAAATCCAATCTCCTCCTCCTCCCCCTTCTTCATTACATGCTTGGGGAGATGATGATTCTAAAGAATGGGAAATGCTGGCATTTGTACTGTATGGTTCAACCTTCCCAAGCACATATGGTCTTCAAGGCAGCTCACAATTCAAATCAATATAAAATAACAGACTCTATACATGTTATACAAGTCATCCGTAAAGATAGTTTCAGAGGGTAGTCGGGTCGGTCTGCAGTAGGACACTTAGACTGGAGTCCAGCAGCACCTCAGAAACCAACAAGATTTTCAGGACATAAGCTGTCGAGTCATAAAACTTGCCAGCACACGCTATATCTCGATATGTCATAGACAATGAAGAACAAACCTTTCTTCAGCTAGTCTAAAAGAATAAATCCTCTTTTTTTTACCTCAGTGATGAAGAGCAGGATATGGTGTGCAGATGTTCGAGGTGACTAGCCTAACCTCTACCCAACTCTGTTGAAAATCCACTAGAAAATACAAAAGGGTCCTTCTCAGTCTGCATCTCAGTGTGTTTTATCAACTAGACCTAGCAGCTGAATACTCTGTCTTCTTTAATTGACAGTAACTGCTGCCTAGAAGGTGTAAAACACAGCCACCATAGCAAACGCTTTTCAAGCAGCGACCCAATTCCCTTAATCAGCAGCCTGGCTTCTCCTTTGCTCCCCCCCCCAAAAAAAAACACACACAGCAAAACTCCATCAGCATGGACTACGCGTCTTCAAGTGTCTTTCTTTGCCAGCACTTTCACAAATCTCCCATTCATGGCACTGAGCATTCACCAGTTCCCACTAACCTCCACTCAAAGAGCTTATCCTCTACAGTCCATGGGGTGAGTTAAAAGTAATTCATCAGCCTTGATGTGGCACAGCTCCGGAGGAAAAGGAATGGCATAGCATGATGCAGTGTCATGTACTGTATTATGACTGCAGCACAGTAGTGAAAGAAAGCAGTACGGAGAGTGTATGGGTCCAGTGGTTTAAAAAGATCTCCATTACTTTCAGGCATCATTTTAATTCCTGAATATCGAAATCCCAAAGAATACAGTAGAAACCTATTTTGCTTTTTCAGGGAGTTGTGCTGTTGGCTCTCCAGTGCTTCCCTGATTTCCTTCCCTCCCCACCTGTATTTAGACTTTTGTTTTTTGGCATTAATGCACAATTACTCTGGTAGACCATCCTTCTGCTAACAGGCAATGTACTTGCAGGTTCTAATTTTGACCACACAACAATCCTATGAGGTAGGCTAGAATGCAAGACAAAGGGTCTCCGGTGAATTTCACTGGCTGAGTGTGAATTGAAGACTCTGCCTAGCCCAAGTCCAATATTCCACACTAGACCACATAAGGCCAAACACTGAACGTTCTCTCCAGAATATCCCTGAGCACCTGCTCCCTGCCTATGACCTTTCCGCTCTTTCTCAGAGCGTGTCCTGATGCCTTCGCTCTTCACTGCTGAACTACAGCAATCAAACCCCAACATCTAGAACTGAGGGAAAGGTTTTCTTAAGCAAAGAAATGGGTCACGACTCACTTTATTCCCCACGCCCCTCCTTTCACAAAGCAGTCACCAAACAGCCCCTCCGAGGCAAGAAGAATATAATAATAAATATTCTTTTGAAAAGCCTTTCTACACAGTTCTTCAATGCCCCCCAAGCCAAAGTATTTTCAGTCCGTTCATATCACTCTTCTGCCTTAATTAATGCAATACCTGCTCCTGCGAATGCTTCCTTGTTCAAAAGTGAACTCTGCTAAGGTGCCATTGGACTCTACTTCGTTGTATTGTTTCAGACCAACACGGCTGCCTACCTCGATCTGCTAAATTCAAGTTGAGCAGGCATAGAACCGCAACCAAGGGGGATGATGCCCGACGAGGTCTAGAGAGAGAGCTTCCTGCCAGTGGGCGCCCCAGGCCGCAGGGCTGTGCGCCCGGACCTCACGTGGCCCTTGCTCCGGAGCAAAAGCGCCCGAGGACCGGGCCGCTCGGGGAAAGGCTCATGTGAGTCAAACTTAAGGTCAGCCTTGACTGCCAGCGAACTTTATCTCGAGCAACAGCGCAATCGCTGGGGCCCCTCAGCGAGGAAACCCCGAAGAGCCCCGCGGGGCGAAAAGTGGAGCCCTCCTCTCGGGGGGCAAATGAGTCCCTCTTGGGCTGCTCCTCTGCAGGGCCGCGCACACACACCCCACGCCCCTCCTGCCGGTCCGGGTCGGACCCGGCTTTCTCGTCGCGGTGGGCTCCACCTACCAGCCGGGCCAAGATCCGATGGCTGTGCTCGTCGGTGCAACGTCCCGAGAAAAAGCCGCCGCGCAGCAGGAAGACGACGACGACGACGCCCCCTAGAGCCGAGCCCAGAGCCCCGAGGAGGAGCAAGGCGGCGGGGCATCGCCTCCCCAGCCGCGCTCGCAGCAGGCGCCTCAAGGCGGGCATCCCCCGCAGAACGAGCCACTCCCGGCCGCCGCGGCGCCCGCGTTAGCCCGTCCCGGGCCGGCGGGAGGAGGTCAGACTCAAGCCTCCGGGCTCCATCGGCACCAGCGGAGGGAGGGAGGCTCCCGCCGGCTTTGGGCGCAGCAGCCTCCGCAGCCGCCCAAGTCTTCAGCGCGACTTGCTCAGTCGCGCACAGGCGCAGCTCGCGGCGCCCAGGGCAAAAAGTCAATGGGAAAGAGGGTCGAGCGGCAGCCGCCAACGCGCCACGACGCACATCTCCCGCCGGGAAGCCAGCTCGGGGATGTCCGCTCCGGCGCTCCCGGCGCCGCCTGGAAACCTCTCCGTCTCTCTCTCACACACACACACGCGCGCGCGTACATCAACGCGCCGAGCCTCTCCTGCACAGACTGGGGCTTTGGGGGCTAGCGCTGCCTTTTGAAATGAAGCCACGTAGTTCCGCCTTCTTTTGTCTGCCGCCTCCCGTGTCAGCCAGCCCCCCCCCCGCGCGCTTGGACAGTTACTAGGCAGCTCTCCTCCACCCCCGACCCAACAAACTTTCAGAGCCACGAAGAAAGCCTTGGGGGGAGAGAGAAGAAGGGGGCGCTTTTCTGTCGTTTGGGTGGCTGATTGGCACTTTTAAAGAGACAGTCACCAAGTGTTTGCCAATTCGTTTATTTTACTGGCGAACTGAACGTGCACCATACCGTTCTGCTCTTTAAACTTTAACACCAGATACGCTGCCCGTTCTAATCAGTATCTTATACAGTGTGTAAATAACTACAAAATTATGTTGCACAAGCACACATTTTAATATTTTATTTGTTATATCTTCTTTCTTTCTTTTCATCTGAGTTGATCTGATCCTAATAAAAAAAATTCACAAATCAGTGAGTTGGCAAGTTTCCAGGTTCTTCAGAACTCTTCTTCAGGCTAGATGTTAAACATAACACTTCTCTGCTGCAGGTTGATAGAGCCTGTAGGTAGACCAGGAGAAATGCTATGCAGGCTTAATTAAATTAAGCCTTTCATGGTGCAAAAAAGATCTTAAGCAGTCCAAAGGCTGCTGAGATGAAGACACAATGGCTGCTCTCACTTAAAAAATACAAAAACCTAGATTCTCAAAGAGGCATGTGAGGGATGAAATCCTGAAAGCAGTATCTGGAGTACCCCTGAAAGTGGGGGGAAATGCCATCAGAGTACTTAAAGACATTCCATTTGAAATAAGGCAAAGGAGAAAGAAATACAAAGATCTTATTCTCTTTCTTCAGACAAATTCAATTGGATATAGATGGCTAACTCCAGAAGGCGTCACCTTCAAAATCAAGGATAAAAAAGAAAAGATTGACTCTGTTCTGAAAGCTCGGGAATTTTTAAGAGTCCAGTTGGGAGGGCCAGAGGAGGAAGAAAAAGAAGGGGAGGACAGTAAGTCCAGTGGCGAGCTGGACTCGGATTCTTCCGGAAAGGACTCTCTTTCAGAGAAAGGGGCAGCAGCTCCTAAAAGCCCTTATAAGTTGCGGAAGAGACGAGGCAAGGAAAAGTGAAGGCTGAAGGACTCTGATGTGTGCTTTTTTAAAAAAAATTTTGAATTGAGATGCTTGGGGCTATTTCTTAATAGCAGTTGAATTTAAGAATTTTAAAAGACAATGATATATCTGACTCAGTTTGTAAAGGGACTAGTGGAATTAAGACTTGATGTTTGTGTAAGCTGATTAGAAGATCTCCTCTCTTGGGTTTTTAGGTATTAGTGGGTATCTTTACTTTGTCCCTATATGTAGTCCCTTATCCTATTTCTGTTGTAGTTTGTAGTGTTTATAAAAATGTAATAAAAAATCCCCTTCGGGGGGGGCTCAAAAAAAAGAAAATACAAAAACCTGTTGCAATTTGGATCGTGCTCAAACACTAATCAGAAGATGGGTAATCCAGACAGCAGAAGGAAAGAACAGCATATATTAGCAGAGCTGGAGATTACTTTTTTCAGAGGAGGTGCATCTTAATTAGTTATCATAGCAACTTTACCAAGTATGAATGGCTACAAGTTCATAAGAAGCAAATTGTTTGGCCTTTGGCCAGGGGCACTGTCTCTTCTGCACAGCAAATGCAGGAAGAATTTAAGACATTATTGGACAATAGACATTTAACATGATTGAGACAAACCAAAGGGACAGGTTAGGGTGTTCTTAAAAGTGGCACATGGCACTTTTAGTGCCTTTTGAGAACATTGTCCGTGTAGGATTAAACATTTTGAATGAAATGTATTTGAATAGCCCACTTGAGAAATAAACACTGAAGCATAAAAACACCCTTGTGAAATGTATGCTAATCTTTCTGGAATATTGTGAATGATGATATTGCAAAAAGCACAAGCATAGATCAAGATGGGTAGCTGTGTTAGTCTGTGTATAGCAGTAGAAAAGAGCAAGAGTCCAGTAGCACCTTAAAGACTAACAAAATTTGTGGTAGGGTGTCAGTTTTCGTAACTCACTGTTCACTAGGGCTGCCAAATGTGGGCGGGGGGCGGGGAATCCCCCGCTTTGAAGGGCCGATTTCCAACGCAGTGGAATCGGGCCCCGGGGGAACCCCGCTCCCGGCGTGCGCGTCACTAGCAAGTGACATGAGCACGCTGGGCACGCTAGGGGCGGGGCCACGGCCATACAAGGGAAAACTCTATGCACGCGCACACACCCTTGACACCCGGCGAAGACGGATTTGGCAACCCTACTGCTCACTTCTTCAGCACATGCATAGTGGATCACAATACATCACACTTTCTACTGCTGTGTTATTGCAATAGTATTCAGAATACCACCCATTGCCATATAAATGTCAAACAGGAAACGTGCTGGATATATTGATGCTCCTATGCAGAGCTGCATGGACATCCAAAAACCTTTGTGGGTCACAGGTTTGCTGTGTTCTTCTCAAAAGAGTTTTCTGAGTGAGACTCCCCCCTTCCAGGCATTTTACAGGACCACATTTCCTTGGCATCAGCTGAAAGATGTTATGGTACCTTCCAACCATTTTCCAAACTGTTCTCTTTGTGGAGGTACCAGTGCAATCTTAAGAAGAGCCAGTTTGGTGTAGTGGTTAAGTGCACGGACTCTAATCTGGGAGAACTGGTTTGATTCTCCGCTCCTCCACTTGCAGCTGCTGGATGACCTTGGGCAAGCCATAGTTCTGACAAGAGCTGTCCTTGAAAGAGCAGTTATCTCAGAGTGCTCTCAGCCCCACCCACCTCACAGGGTGTCTGTTGTGGGGAGGGGAAGGGAAAGGAGTTTGTAAGCTGCTCTGAGACTCCAAGTGAAGGGCGGAATATAAATCCAATCTCTTCTCTTCTTCTTCTTCTTAAGTCCATTGAAGTCAATGAACACTGTGCTGGTGGAAAGTGCCATCAAGTCACAGCAGACTTATGGTGGCCCCCATTGGGTTTTCAAGGCAAGAGACAAACAGAGGTGGTTTGCCATTGACTGCCTCTGCATAGCAGCCCTGGATTTCATGGTGGTCTCCCTGGGCTGACCTGGCTTAGCTTCTGAGATCTGATGACATCGTGCTAGCCTGAACCATCCATGTTAGGGCAGAGTAGCCCTTGTAGGTGACTCTTCTCACTTCACTGATACCAAGTTGTTATTGTTATTTATTATCCCAATATTATAAGTGGGAAAGGCTCAATTAGAAAGGCATTGGCTTCCTCCTACAATTCTAGATGACTCCCCTTCTTTATGCAATGTAGCCATTTATTCTAATTTGCTCCTTAAATATGCCAGTCTGTAGACTTCCACATGGAATATTCTGCCATCTACCTTGGATTATGCTAAATTACATTCAGGTGTTTTTTCACCTAAGCAGCAGCAGCAGGTCCAGGAATGAAAGCAAAATAATAAGTTCACAAGAAGAACATGTGATGCAGCATCCCAAAGTACAGTGAAGAGACAAAGATGGTTTTTTTCCCATTAACAATTTCCCCTTCTCCAAATGGAAATGGATTTCCTTTGCTATAGGGATGGTAAGAGAAGGGAAGAAGCATTATGCTTGCAAACACTATAGCCTAAACAAAGATTCCCTATTGGAGGCTGCTGAGTGCCAGGCTCTTAAAAGTGTTTGAAAGGCAGGAGGTGACAAAAGCTGTGGAAGATTAAAAAACGTGACCCCAGATGATGCATTATACCTGGAGCTTTCTTTAGACTGGCAGGAGGAATGGAAATGAGAGGCAGGGAACAAAAGCTCTATTATTCCATCAGGAGAAGCCCTGGAGGCTGAAACATTATCACAAACCACTCCCCCACCCCAATCATAGGATCTTTCCTTCCCTGTTGCCTTTGGCACTCTGCACCAAAGCCAGCCACCCTGATAATAGCATTTTAAGTGATCGTATTAAATGCAAGGCACCTAATTTGATATCGATGGAATTAGTGAGTGATGTATATTGGTAATGAACTATGGGCCTGGGGCTATACAACTGGCGCTTTGAAATTCCCCGCTCTACCTATAAGGCAGCCAATAGAGATTTCCAAACTCTTTTAAAACCATTTAACAGATCCATCAGCCAGTTATCCTTTCTCCCTCTTTTTTTTTAAAAAATAGACTTGTCAGCCCCATTCAAACTTCAGGTATCTTTTAGTCCTAAAATCGGGTGGTCAAATGCTGCAAAAAGCCTCCAAGCAATGCCTGCTTGCCAGCCTTCATGGGTGTACCCACAATCCAAATCGCAGGTGGCACAAACAAAGCAAGTCAAGTTATGCATTGCGGGGTGGGGGTGGGGGTGGCCATCATCCACCTTGGTAGCAGATCCTGAAGCCAAAGAAGGGTCTTGATCTATTTATTTATTTATTAAATTGGATTTGCTAGGCTGCCGTTCCCTGCAAGCAGGGCTCAGGGTGGCTTACAACAGAGCAAAATGCAATAAACAATTTAACATTAAAAATTACCTAAAACATGTCAATAAATAAAACAAGTATAAACTTGTTAACATTCGGGCTCAAAATATGCTGCTTTGTTTCTAATGGGTC